AGGTATGTAAGTGAATGCAATAAACCCAACTGGAATTGGAACTGTTCTCTGATTAACAATTCTGAGCCTTTATCCATTACACCACCTGCACATCCAACTTGAAATTCTCAAGTGGTCACCCATCTAGATACTAACCAGGCTCAACATAACTTTTTTGATCGTGATGTGGCTATTTGTGCATGAAGGAATATAACAAACCCAACGGGAATTAGAACTCAGATCTCAACTTTCACTCATGTCTATGGAGCTAAAGAATCATTGAATGATACACTACCATAATTTGTTATTTACTCGGAGATAACATCAGCGACTGAGATACCTATTCGTCAGTATTGGAAAATGAATGGATTTCTCGTAAAAGTAATTTTCAAGTTAATATTTTCTTTGATCAAATATGGAGGATCGAATCTTGCTGATCAAGTCCAATGCATATCAAGTATTAAAATAGCAACCAATAGAAAATGACTATTTTGTAGATGATAAAATGTAGGAAAAGAAATCTTCCATATCCTAGAACAGGGTTTTTCAAACTATGGGTCCTGACCCTTCAGTGGGTCGCAAGATAAATAAAATGGGTTGCAACAAAAAAGAAAGAAGAAAAATACACAAGTAAGAGCAAAGTGCTCTATAAACAACACTAAATGTTGCACATTATTCACAAATCATTGATAGTTTTTTTCACTGAGATAAGCTCATATTTTATATATATCTGTTCTCAGTGAGTTTATGTATCTTGTTTTGGGCTAAGAACAAAGAAGAATTTCCATTACTGAGTAAAAAAGGCTATTTTATTACTATTGCCCTTTATAACTACTTGAGTAAACTAGGATTTTTCACATTAACTCAATTTAAGACGAAGGATAAATACAGGCTCATCACTGCACTTGATATGAGTGTAGTATTGTCTTCCTGTGTTCCCAACTGGAATCAGATGCTTATGAACAAACACATCCATCACATTAAAAGACATTTTTTTTCAAATATTATTTTACTTTGTGTTGGAATTTCCTTTAAATTTGTTTTTCTAAAAGTAATAATTTTATATTCCTACAAATAATACAAATAGATACATGCAATTCCAATATGTGTGGATCCTAGTGAACAGAGTTTGTCTTGATTTATTACACTGGTATAATGGGTTGCAATGCAAAATGTGCTTCTTCTTGTGGATTGCAGTAAAAGACAGTTTGAAAAATACTGTCCTAGAATGATACGAGTCCAAGATGACTGACAAGACCAGGAGAAAACCCTAAATCTTAAAGTATTTTTTTATATTTAAGAAAAAAGTTCTAAATCAGTTTTACCAATTTTCTTTATATTTTAGCATTTTACAGAAAAGAAAATTACTGGAAAGTTAGTATACATCCTGGCATGAAAGATTCAATCAAGGAAGTATTTTAGCTAACAAAACAATATAGTTGAATACCATAGCTAACCTAAATGGTAAGATTTCAATAAATAAACACTCGTCCAGCCAATCTATTCACAAATATCAAGCAGTTACCTAACAGGATACTAAATAATAACTGATGAAAACAAACATTTATGTAAAAAAAAAAAAAAAAAAAAAAATGGAGGAGACACTGACACAATGTAGAGTAGCAAACGTTATTTGGTCTGAATTTTTTTTCTCTTAGCAGAATTTTTAACATGAGTAAATTGTCTGTTACTTATATCATAGAATAACCATATGGACTTTATCTAAATAAATCTCAAATTTTCTAATATTACATATATCAAAAGAAAAGGAGAGTTAAGAGCTACTACTTAATAAGATCATTTACTAGGGTTTGTGAATTGGATTCTGGTTTTAAAGTAAATTTTTGATTTAGAAACTGCTTTAAATTGATAAAGTTGATAAGTTCCCTTCCCCCAATTCAGTAGCAATTTTTAGAATAGTGACAATCTCTTCAATCAACGACTGCTGCAAATAGAATAATTAAAGGAGGTAGGTAACAAATATTTGAGGGGGTAAAAAAAAAAAAAAAATATATAGGTGTAAAATTCCAAAAGGTCTGAGCCCACAAAATTGTACATTAAGATGTAAAAGAAAAGGTGTAAATTTATTTTTTTTAAAACAGACAAAAAAAAAATAAATAAATAAAAAAATAAAAGATTAAAAATTTCTTAAATGAAGTTCAAGCAAACATCTTTAAACAGCTGTTAATTTTTTTAAACTTTAATTTAAAAAGAAACAAAAAATTGCAGTCCCCCTCCACAACACACTTTCTTTTTTTTTTTTTTTTAACTTGGGATTGTCTACTTGGATAAAAAGTGAATACAGTAAAATACTTTTAGACAGTAATCAATAAAAAAAAAAAAAAAAAAAAAAAACATGGTTTTAAAATGACTTATCTGAAAAAGAAAAAAAAAAAAACAATTTGCCAGAAATGTTAAAGTACAGCAAATAAAAGGATTTTTTTTGTTTGTTTTAAAATCAAAAATCTTTATTTTATTTACATAAGTGTAAACTTAAACTAAATTCAAGTGAATAGCAACCCCCCTCATTTTCTTTTTATTTTAAAAATTAACTTCAAAAGAGGAAACAATTGGCCCCTATTAACCCATAAAATCCTGAGAGGGAGAAAGGATTAATTCGGTGAGGCAGGTGGGGAGGGGGACAAGGTGTTTATGATAATCTAATGGACTGGTTTGAATAATTTGAAAATAAAACAATCCAGTAAAGGAGTTGCAACTGTGTAAGGATTTTTTGGCTAAGATCCTTAGGCAGAAAAACAAAAAAAAGAAACCAAAAGAGGAAGGAATTAAAATGGCCCTCCTTAAAGTCCCCTTCATATCAACAAAGGATATCCAGACACTAGAACATGTCTTTACCATTTTTGGCAAGGAAACGAGAAAAAGGAAAAAAATAAAAAATAGTCCTGAATAAGACAAAGAAAAGAAAAACTACAATTTCGTCCACCACACAATATGTACCAATCATATATACTCTCTACCAAGTCATGTAGTAACATGTTTTTGTGTTTATTTTTAAATAGTGTTCCATAAAAGTCCAACTTTCTAATCATTCAATTATAATTCAAGCAGAATTTTAATATAAGAATTCCCAAGAGACGGTTTGATAAAAATATTAACAAGTATTGGGCTGTAAGACAAATTTGTTAGTTTTTTTTTTTTTGTTTTTTTTGCCATTGTTGTTTGAATTAACATGGAAAATATTTTTAACAGAGTTTTATGTAACTCTATTCTTTCTCTATGACTTTTGTTTATAGTTTTATATTATTGACTGATATTTTAAAATTGTCGATGAGTAATAGGATTCAAATAAAGGATGGAGAAATAAAAAAAAAAAAAAAAATGAACAAATTTATCTGACAACCCAATAATATTCAATTGTAGTGCCAGTCGATTCATCCTGGCAGGGTGGGAGCAGGCAGATGCCAGCCAGAGGTGGTGAGTAGGGTAGGAGTGGGGGGGGTATAAACTTTATTTGCAGGTCCCAAAGCAAACATTTATTCATGTTTGCACATTTTTCAATGAGGTGGGAAGATGAAAACAAAGAGAAGAAAATTGGGGGAGTAGGGTTTAATGCCAGAATAAAAAAAAATAAAAAAAATGAAAAATTTAAATCTTTCAGGCTCCTTCATAAAAGTTATCAGTTGATCTGACAGTAAAGAGGTGGCAGCAGCAGCAGCAATAGGGATCATCTTTAACAAGTGTTGTTGTCATTCAATTAATGGACATTGCAAGCACAGTGCATGCGAGTCTCTTTTTTCAACATGTCATCTTTGAAACTTTCCAATGATATTCTGGACGAAGCCACCCAAAATCTAACATAATACACATTCAGTAACCAGCACAAAATTAGCAAAAATTCTCTTAATTCATTTTTCATTTACCCATACATCCGAGCGGGAACAATTTCTTCCAACTAAGATTATTTAAATTTGCCTTGAGAAAAAATTCCAATAGACCATTAAAATTTTAAGTACTCTATAAATATCTGAGTTTAGTCACTGCATTACTTGTCACTAATATTATCTACCAAAGACAGAAAGAAAGAAAGAAAGAAAGAAAGGGTGATCACACAGAATAACCCTTGACCTCTGAACAATGTGCTGCAATATCAAAGTGTGTTCTTATTTAATTCCAAAGTTAAATTGCATGCATATCCAAGAGTTTCTTTTACTCTGCAATGCATGGAACTACCATCACTCCTGCCAACATAAATGCATCATAAATACTCCCAGAGAGGAAAATGGTAAAAAGATTTTATTTCAGCCATGCAACTGTGCTGGCTGGCCATCTGCAAGCTAACAGATGGAGGTAGCAGTAAGTAAAGAAAGTCATTACCAAATCATTGAGTGTAAACTCCAAGAACTGGAATCAACGTTGACAGAAATAGACAGCGTTTTTTGTTTTCTTTTTCTTGGGGGTGGGGTACAATAAAATCCACAGAAAATGTTGACAGAAGCCCGCTATCCTGCTAACCAGTTTCTGCAGGTCGAGGATGCAGACACCATTAACTGAGCCTCCATACGTAGGCATTTTTGTTCCTTAAGACGTTAACGATGACAACAGTTGCCTTTTGTCCTTACTCCCCCTCTCCCGGACAAAAAAAAAAAAAAAGAAAAAAGTCCACTTCTGCTGTCTGTCACAGATGAACACTAATGGTTCTGCAATGTCATTGGCAAACAAACAAAAAAAACATTATTCTGGCAAAAGAATTAAAAATTAAATCAAACATTTCTCCTTGTTAATTTGTGGCTGATTAAACAAGGAAGGATAAAATAGAAAAAAAAAAAAAAAAAAGTTATTTCATGTCCATGGCTATCAAGTGAAGGTTTTGAAGGTTTTTTATAATATATATAAAATATATATATATATATATATATATATATATATATATATATATAAAAAAAAAAAAAAAAATTTTTTTTGATTCTATAAAATTTACAGATGGTCATTAGAGGCCAAAAGGCAAAAAAAAAGATCATGAGTGGCCAGTGGAGAAGGCTGCTAATTTTTTTTCTTCCCATTTATTCTTGGCCAAACCCTTCTGTCTCTTCAATGGCATAGGTCAGTTTCTCCATCAGTTGTTCATAGCTTTTATAAGGTGGGAGATCGAGACGGTTGAAGCATGTGTGGCTCCGGGGCAACCAGGTTTCTTTGCCAACTTTTTCAATGCAAAACCTCTGTGGCCCATTGCTCCCTAAAAATGGTAAAAAAGAATCTAATGAAATATGCAATCATTTCATAATTTAATTACTTGATGCACACTTTATTTTCAACAAACAAAAAAAATTAAAAATAAAATTAAAAAAGGTTAGTGCAAGGCCAAAAATGATGAGTAATATCCACAAGCACTTGAACTTGTTACAGTAACAATGTGCAGTGAGCTTTGCTTGTTAATCACTTAAACAGGTTTTAAACTAGATATACCTCTACTAATTTGTTATACCTAAGTGTCATATAGTAAGAAAATGAGTAACTACCAACACCAAGGTTCGAACGTGATACTCTGGACTTATGAATATATGTTTTCCACCAGGTGTATAAATAGCAGTGTCAGGCTATTGACTAGAGTCAATAGCCTGAGTTACTATTGAGTGGAACTCTCCAGCCAAATTAGCATGAATTATTGTGCATCAATGTATTGGGTTTTGATTTAGGATTTACCGGATGTTAAGCCAAGCCGCTCTACTTACAAGGTATTCATTGAAATGATTAATTATCTTTTATTGACTTTTACTTCTTTGTTCTTGTTAATTATTTATTTGCAGTTGTAATTAAATGCTGTTTTATTTAACATTGAAATTTTGAGTTGTACTTAACAGTCACCGTACATCACAAAACTAAGGTTTAAAATGAATTTTTATAAATGAAAAAGTTTTCTTGAAGAATTGAAAGCTAAATGATTAAATTTACTATTTCCAGTAAGCAAAATATTCAATATAATTTTCAAACAAATTATATAAATTGGAATAGATTTTTTATTTTCTAAAATAGCTGATTAGCACCCACGTTTTTTTTTAGTCATATTTCATTGCAATGTAATTCTCAGTATTAAAAAAAATCTTCCAAAAATAAAGTACACTTTTCTGAAACTTTATTTGAGAAATATTAGCTGACAAACTAATTAATCTGATTTGAAACAAATATTTACTTATTTAAGTTTGAAATAACACAGAAATGTATTTTTAAAAACAAACAGACATTGATTGTCACTCTATGGAGACCTTATCTGTAAAATATAATTTAAGAAAATGACATGAGCAGCTTTTTATATAATTTTTTTTAAGTACTCAGTAATCTTTAAAATGTTGGAAAATATTCTCCAAAATCTAATTTTCGGAATGTTGAGTTTAAATTTACTATAGTCATCACTTTTATTTTCTGATATATGTTGTGTATGGTCAACCATACTTTCAAAAATGTGAACGTTACATAATATTTTATATACATAAAAAATTAAGTTATTTTAAAAATCTTGGTGCAAAAATGATTTATATTAAGCTTTTCAATTTTTGATTAGTAAATATAGTTTTCACTTAACAATATCACCTAACAAGATTAAACTAATGTAAAATTTTAAAATATTTTTTAAAAACTTATGACAAATTATTAAAAAAAAATTCTTATATTATTTATCAAATATCATTATTTGCCAAACAAATTTTTTTTTCTTAAGACAAATCTTATTTATAAAAACAATTAAAAGCTTTTCTAGTTAAATAATTAAATTATTTTTTTTTATTTTATGATTTGAAGCAGATTTTCAGAAAGTAGCGGTTTGAAAAGAAAAGAAAAATTGATGATTTACATTATCCAAAGAGTCCTGCTTTTAAATAATAAAACAAATTTTGTGATGAAAATTTAACTTACTGAATTTTCATGAAATTAAGTAAGGTAGGGAGTGTGAAGGGGATTTGTAATGTATGTAAAAAAAAAAAAATCTCTTTACCAAGATTATCTAAAAAAAATTTCAAAAATAATTTAATTCATTTGTGAATAAGACCTGAAAGTTTCATTAAAATCTGACCATTATTCGATTTTTGCAAGAATGTATTTTTCATCAGAAAAATGGTGCTAAAACACTAATCGTAAATTTTACGTTGACCGCTAAGGCAAAAGAAACAAGATTTTTAACCAAAATTTCAAACATGCTCGGAAGGATTAAAAATTTAATAAAACAGTAAAAAATATTTTGGTCTTTCCTCTTAATAATAACAAACATTTTGACAATAAAACTTTTTTTCATCATGCTATTCTGTTTTTTCAGCAATAAAATGAAGGTACCTATTTTAAACATCTGGTGAGTTTAGGTTTGTAAATTTAACGATCTATCAATTCTTGTCAGGTTACTTACTATCAGGCAAGTCTCATAGTACAAAAGTTACAGTGAGTTATTGACAGATCCAATTTGCAGTTGTGTCAAAGATGTTATCAGGCCTTGTTTATACCTGAATCTGCAAGTATGTGGAGGGTCTGTATATTCTAAGTGCCACCAACAGAGAAATCTAATCAATTCAAATTCATTTGAAGAATAAACAACAGTAGAATCAGGAACATCTGCAAACATCCACAAAAGGGGTGAAAAACAAAAAGAAACACATCAACTAACCCATTAGCTCAGCAAATCCGCCAACAGGAAGTCGACATGTGCCAGTTACAAATTGTAACAACCTGGTTCGCTTCTCATTGTCAAGATCACGTACAAACTGTAAATTGAAAAGAAAAATTATCAATGAATTTGAAAGTTAATGAATATTCCTATTTTACTGATTTTACAAACAGAACAGATTCCAAAGACAACATAAAAATATAAAAATAAAAAAGGAAAAAATAAAAGTTGAGGGTGGTACTGACCTTCCAGAACCAAGCAATTTGTTTACTTGTTCTCTGATAATGTCTGTAAATTGTGTTTTTTTCCCAGTCATCTACATCAATTTCTTGCATTCCACACAGCATCAACTGAAACAGGAGATTAATTCTTTATTAATAAAATAATTCCAACAGAATAAGAATGTCTAAAAAAAATTAACTGGGTTAGAAACAAGTGACACTGGGTCAGTAGATGAGAATTACATACAATTAAAAAAAAAAAAAAAAATGATGGAATATATTAAAACAATAGCGAACCAATTTATTTACAAGCAATTATTAGTCATTAAAATAAATATGTGTGTGTGTGTGTGTGTGTGTGTGTGTGTGTGTGTGTGTGTGTGTGTGTGTGTGTGTGTGTGAGTGAGAGAAGAGAGAGAGAGAAGACGGGAGAGGAAGAGAAGAGAAGACGGGAGAGGAAGAGAAGAGAAGACGGGAGAGGAAGAGAAGAGAAGACGGGAGAGGAAGAGAAGAGAAGACGGGAGAGGAGAGAAGAGAAGAAGAGAGGAAGAGAAGAAGAGAAGACGGGAGAGGAAGAGAAAAGAAGAGAAGAAAGGGAGAGGAAGAGAAGAGAAGAGAAGAAGGGGAGAGGAAGAGAAGAGAAGAGGAAGAGGAGAGGAAGAGAAGAGAAGAGAAGAAGAGAAGAGGAAGAGAGAAGGAAGAGAAGAGAAGAGAAGAGAAGAAAGAGGAAGAGAAAAGAAGAGAAGAAGGAGAGAAGAGAAAAGAAGAAGAGAAGAGAAGACGGAGAGGAAGAGAAAAGAAGAGAAGAGAAGACGGAGAGGAAGAGAAAAGAAGAGAAGAGAAGACGGAGAGGAAGAGAAAAGAGAAGAAGAGAGAACGGAGAGGAAGAGAAAAGAAAAGAAGAGAAGACGGAGAGGAAGAGAAAAGAAGAGAAGAGAAGACGGGAGAGGAAGAGAAAAGAAGAGAAGAGAAGACGGGAGAGGAAGAGAAAAGAAGAGAAGAGAAGACGGGAGAGGAAGAGAAAAAAGAGAAGAGAAGACGGAGAGGAAGAGAAAAGAAGAGAAGAGAAGACGGGAGAGGAAGAGAAAAGAAGAGAAGAGAAGACGGGAGAGGAAGAGAAAAGAAGAGAAGAGAAGACGGGAGAGGAAGAGAAAAGAAGAGAAGAGAAGACGGGAGAGGAAGAGAAAAGAAGAGAAGAGAAGAGAAAAGAAGAGAAGAGAAGAGAAAAGAAGACGGGGAAGAGAAAAGAAGACGGGAAGAGAAAAGAAGACGGGAGAGGGAAGAGAAGACGGGAGAGGGAAGAGAAGACGGGAGAGAGAAGAGAGAAGAGGGGAAGAAGAAGAAGAAGAATAGAGGAAGAAGAAGAAGAATAGAGGAAGAAGAAGAAGAAGAGAGGAAGAAGAAGAAGAAGAGAGGAGGAAGAAGAGGAAGAAGAAGAAGAGAGGAGGAAGAAGAAGAAGAGAGGAGGAAGAAGAGGAAGAAGAAGAAGAGAGGAGGAAGAAGAAGAGAGGAGGAAGAAGAAGAGAGGAGGAAGAAGAAGAAGAGAGGGACGAAAAAGAGAGGGACGAAAAAGAGAGGGACGAAAAAGAGAGGGACGAAAAAGAGAGGGACGAAAAAGAGAAACAACCAAAACAAAAAAAAAAGGGAAAAAAAACAAAAAGAAAACACTCAATTCTTGAAAAAATTATTTTCTAAATAGCTTTTTATCCAACAAACAACTGGTTAGATTTATATTCAATGAAATTTTTACCTCTAATTCTCTCTCATCAAAATATTGCAACCATTGCAATGGTACTACTTCACTGAAGCCATCTAAAAAGGCCTTGGTCTGCTCCTCAACACCTCGTGTAAATCTCCAATTAGTCATCAGACTAAAAATAGAGGCAAATACAAAATACTGTTAAAGAAGATAACATTAAACAAAGATATGACAATTGCAACAATTTATATTCAGTTATTAATTTTAAAAGAAAAAGAAAAAATACAAAGTTTATTAACTCAAAATTACTTGGTCCATTTTTAAAATGTTCTAAGACCAAATAATTTTTGCTGACAATCATCTGATATAACATTATTAGTGATTATGATAAATGCCGTTTCCTGTATTTTGAAAGCATTATTAAGTTTATATATAATGGCCTGCTACTCTTGTTTTCTGAAAGAGTGGTTAGCCAATCCCTGTGTGTAGACATTTGTGTTTGTACAACACCCACATGTTGACTATAGTCACAGTTTCTGCAAGAGAGAACATATTCTGATCATGATTAGCTGTTTGAACAATGCCAGCATGTTCAAACCTTCCATCAGGATGACTTGTGATGTCGTGCTAGCACAATTAGTGACAGCTTCTGAAGAGTTCTAACTACTCAATTTTACTTACAAGGCTTGGGTCAACCCCTGTGATTTTCCAGGTTATCGGGTAATTTTCAAAAGTATTGCATGTAGGGACTGCCACCTGAGATAGATAACATCCTTTTATCTCACTAGTTAATAGTTATGCCCTGTTTGGACAAAATTCAGTGCTTTCAGGATGAGACTAGAAGATGCAGACCTGAGCGATGGTATATGGAAGAAGCTGCCCAACCTACACCACCAGTAAGTTCCAAAGAAATACATTGGATTACATTTAGGGCTGCATTGGCTGAAAGAGTTGTTGGAAAGTTGTTAGTGTTAACAGCTGATCACCTTTGCAGATGCACTCTAGATTCTTTGTCTGGATTTACTTCCATAGCCTTTTCCGTATTTGGATATGACTGCAAAGCAGCAAAAGTTTAAAATCAGGGTTTTCTTTCCATAGATGAACTGCCGTCCCAGGCTAATGAACTCAGTCTACCAAAAACAGTTGGTTATGAGACCTGGTTTTAATTGTCAGAGGCCATTTTGAGATGCATGCCATGGAAGCATAGACAATATGACACCACCAACCACTTCAACTATTTAAATAACCATCCACATATATTCAGTAATGCTAGAGTAATTCAAGTTGTTAGTTTTAGTTTAATCTAAATATTTTAATCATAGCTTTTCTGTAAGATGCATCAACCAATTTTTGTGCTATTTATTTTCTTACTGTCATTTGGGGACATTCTTTAAATATTTACATCCATATATGGATGGTGCAAATGGGTAGCAGCTCAGAATGAAAAATCAGAGTTGTGTTCAAATTCTAGTCAAGTAAATTATATTGGGAACCTTGGCGAAGTATTAATCTATCTTTTCTCACAGTTATGATTTAAATAGCAGTATAACAAGGCAGTGATCCTGGTTGAATCATACTAGTGCATGGAAAGTGGTTAGTGACTTGCGGTATTAAGAAAGACTCGATAATTTTCAGCAAAGGATTAGAGATATTAGGAGAAAAATATGGAAGAATGGTTATTCCGATTGGAATCGAATAAAAAAACATTTTAAAAATATTAATTTAAACCCATAAAATACTTAGAAAAGGTGGAAGAGTTTGAACTTAAATTAAACTAAGACTTCATGAGATTCAGTATATATGACATGTCCACCCCAACTCCATAACCAAGGAAGTTGGTATGACACAGTATTTTTTGGTCACTCTTGGGTTTGTCTATTTAGAAACTTAGTAATAGTATTTGCACTGATTTCAATGTCATTTTCGAAACTTAAAAATCCAGACCAAAACTGAAAATCACTTTGTAGACTGCCATCTGGCATACTTAATAGAAGACATTCAGCAATCTTTAAACATTCGTACACGCCAAAAAAAAAAAAAAAAAAAAAAAAACTGTGTCAAAAGGATGGTTTTTCCCTTGACAATACTATTATTTTAACTACCTTCACTCCTTGACAATGTTTTTATTTTAAAAAGCAATGATTAGAATTGTAATAAATATAATTAATTAATGAACTCTCCTCTTGTCTTTTAATGTAGAAATACATTCATTACAAAACTGGCACCATTACTCTTCATTCTTATTTTTTTAAATTTAAGAACCTTCATAAAAACTGATAAGTTACACGGCACATAACACACACTCTGACTCACAAGTTGAATGCAGGAGATTTAATAATCTCCTCGTGTCATAGTTTTAGTTTTAAATTATACAAAAACACAAAAATAGATACTTCAGTGTAGGGGGTAAGGGTTAAAAAGTCTGAACAGCAAGTTCAAAATCTTTACTGGGTACTCCCCCCATACAAATATTGCAATATTAATATCACCCAACAAGAGTTGAAATGGTGCAAAATCAACCAACATCAGCTGAAATAATTTTCCAATGCATTTTCCTAATAATTTCCTGACTCCTCAGCATCGGATTATGGCTATCAAACTCAATCCAAGTAGCTAAGTTCGATCCTCACTAAGTGCCTCAAGCAACATCAGATAATTAAACAAGGGTTGACTTGTCATAAAGTATATCTTACAATCCAAAATATATTTTGTGTTTAAATAACCCACAAAGGGTTGATAAGCCATAAAAAAACAAATCAATAACAAGAGAAAGAGATAATTTCTTAGTTTTCCTTAAAAGCACAAATAAAACTTTATGATTCAAACCCTCCTAAATTTGAACCAAGGGTCCAACAATTGAATATACTTGTTTATAAAACCATCTCATGGGAATTATTCAATTACAATTCTCCTTGGAATATATTTGAATGGTTAGAAAGCTGGATTGTCATGAAATATCATTAAGAACCTCCCCCATTCAAAAAGAAAAGTCATAAAAATGACATTTTATAATGATTTTTTTTCTCCAATTGTTATTACTGAAATACTCTGATCTTCCACAAAGACTGTCTTTTCACCTATGATGAGATCCCAGCATATGACACTGCCACCTGGTGCTGACAGTGCAAGGGAAATAACTAGTAGAGCTAATTAGACATTACAAATAAAATCAACTTGGCACATAGTGAAATTTAACTTACCTAATATATTCATCTTTATTCTCTTCTGAAACTTTTAATTCAGCACCTCCAGGTTTCAGTTCATGCTGTTCCAACTTGCCAAGAATTTCAAAGTCTCCACAGAAGAATAGTTCTAAACCGCACTCTTCTATGTTGTTCTCTCTAGAATTTAAAAAAAAAAAAAAAAAAAAAATTTTCAAACATTCTCAAAAAGGAAGATGGAAAAAAAAAGAAAAAAAAAACCCTATAATATCAAAAATGGAACAGAACTGAATCCTGAAGTTATTTGCAGCTTATAAACATCTTGATAAAAAGGTAGCGGAAACAGTAACTTGGCACTATATTGAAATGTTCAAATCTGATACTGTACATTTTAAAAGAGCCATCATTTTAAAGGAAATAAATTCAGATTTTGTTTTGCTGGGTTATTTTGAGAGAGCAAGAAATTAGCAATTAAAAATAAGCAAAAAAATTGCTACATTTATTTATTGATTGATTTTTGATTTGAAGGTTTGCCACTTTTGTTTGGAACTGTTTAAAATTTGTTAAAATGACAACTGGCTTATGATTGCTTTCACAGCCATACTTGTTTTCAAAATACAACACTAAAATGTGTTGTAGTCATGATATATAAAATGATTTTTTTTTTAAAAGAAAATTCTTACAAGAAATCTCCATTCCAGAAATAAAATCCAGATGTCAAGATTATCCAGACTTACTTGAGATTCTAAGTACAAATAGATGTACAAACATTTTTTCTGGTCATCAAAATTGCCAATCATATTATACAATACTTTTTATTTTATTTGTTATAGAGATGAAATTACAAATGCTCACAAAAAAACAAAACAAAAAAAAAACCATTCTGTTTGGGGTTTTATTGCTATTGGCTACAGTTAAACTACAAACAAATATTGCTGGCTCTTGTAACAATCAAATAAGCTTATATAATTGTAAAGTGAATAAGTGTCTCTTATTCCCAATGATAAGAAAGTTCTATGCTAATGATTCCTTCTCTCACACTTCTCACTTGTACAGAGCTCTCTTCCTGCTTCTTGCTTTGCAGTTAACTTCAATCTTTAAAAATTTAAATGCAATGTTGATCATTAAATTCTGTTTTAATTCCTATTCTTTTATTGTTCTCTCTCCTTAATAAGATTTTCTTTTTCTCATATTCTTTCACATTCAGTAACCCCTTTCATCTTAGTGGTTTTTATTCCTTTGCTTGGGGTGAAGTGAATAATAAAAAATACTTAAAAAAATCTAATTTTATATATACAAGGTGCAATGGATAAATTGTCAAATTATGTAAAAATGGGAAAAACACTGATATCTAATTTTAACAGATATATTTACCAAAATTACACAAAATATCTAGAAATACTAAAGTGTAAATTTATTCAATAAAAAAAAAAAAAAAAAAAAAAAAAAAAATCCCCATTAGCTTCAACTACAGCCTCCAGACAACTTCAGAAACTCTTGCATCTTTTCGGGCCATTTCATTGTTTAAGTTGGTGAATGCTGCCATAATCCTTGCCTTCAGTTCATCTTTGATATTAAAAAAAAGTCTTTGTTGGTTTCTCACTCAACTGCATACCGCACATAATAATCAAGGGGGTTGCAGTCTGGGGAGTTAAGTGTCCAGATGTAAAGGGTGATGTGGTCACAGAAATTGTCTAGCAGCCATGACTGGGTTCTCCTACTTGTGTGTCATGGTGCAGAGTCCTGTTGCCAGACAGAGTCTTCCAGCAGCCACCCACTTGACCCAGGGCAGTACTACCTCCTCAAGGCACTTGATGTAGGCTTCCAAGTTGAGTCTGAGGCCCTCACCAATAAATTTGGGATTTTTTTTTTTGTATCGGAATGATCAGAGTGAGTTTTCCAAGTTTCCATACATTCATAATCACCATTAGACTCATCCAACTCTTGCCACATTCTCTGCACTGTCATCAGATTAACACCCAAAGAAACTGAAATATTCATATTGGAGATTCTGGCGCAAATGCCAAGCAGTACAGCATGCTGTTCTCAAAGATCTGGCAGAGTGAATTGCGTCATGCTCTTTTCCTGACAGATGGTGCCCAACTGACCCTACTATAGTGTACAGTCAAAAAAATAAATAAAAAACAAACCCCCACGTATACACAAATATAAAATGGCAACAATTTATTCTCCACTGCACCACACATATATATATATATATATATATATATATATATATATATATATAAGTTTGTTTTTATTAAAATACAAATAAACATTATCTTTGGTAGATTCATATTGATCTGCTATTTAATTGAATTGCTTAAAACTGATACAAATTAATGGTGATAAAGAAAACATTTTATATTTGCATGACAATGTAAATAATATAGCTTCTTTTTTATTTTTTCTTCAATCCATATGCTTTTAGAGAAACAAAGTTTACAGGCAGTATATTCTTAAATATATTACATTTTATTAGAATAAAGCTGATTTTTTTTGCTTCCATCAATTAATATGAATCTATTCTTATCTTAAGATTTCCAGTTCAAGTATTTTATTTTATATAAAAATGGTTTTCATTTTACAAAATTATTCAGAGCAACAGAAAAAAAAAAAAACAGATTTCACTAAGATCATTAAGAAAATAAAAATTGGCGTTAAAAGAATGGTTATGAAACAAACTTAAATACATTCTAATATATGACTTTCTTCTAATAATGTCAGTTCAGATTCAAGACCAGGAGCTCATGTAAAAAAATGAACGAACCATTAGCAATCAACATTTGTGTTACATTTTCTGCTTCTAAGTAAATTGAAAATAGAAAGGAGAGAATTTTGAATTACAAATATGGAAAATTTAGTCACAATGCAAAGCAGCTAATTGTAAATGAAAATATTTGATAAAGAAGTTTTTTTTATTCATTTTTAAAATTTTTCTATTTTATCTTTTTAATTTTTGTTAAAACTTGTAATACTTACATTAAAAGTAAATTATTGGTCAGGATCAAAATATTTATTTCGTAAACATTGAATGGATTAAAATATTCATTTCCTAAACAGTTAATGGTGTTTTTATTATGCTATTAACAACTACAATTTCTAAAAAAATTATTTCAAAAGAATTTTAATTTTGAGGTGATTTAAAAATTATTTTCAGGACAGTTCCAAGACAATAGTGAAAAAAAAGTTACTGTGGATCCCTGTTCAAGACAATTCAAAAAATTGTATAGTTTTTAAGCAAAATAAATGAGACAAAAATCCTTGGTAAACAAGTGCATTACTGAATGACCAACAGAATATATAAAAATATTCAGTAATTATATAAAAAAAAAAAAATGCTACTGATGAAATACAAGAGTTGCTTTATGATTTTTCTCTATTAAATCAATGATGAAAGAGGGAAAGATGATTGAAATAAACAAAGTGTTATGAAGTTTTGAATTTACATCAAAAGAATATAACAGAATACAACTTACTTGATCCACATTAAAGAGTTGTGAAATTCCTGATCAATTGTTTCGATGTCTTTTATTGTTAGCTTTTTGTTGAGCATTCTCTTATAAAACGGTAAGGTGAAACCACTGTCAATGAACTTGCCGTGATATAAAGCCTAAAAAGAAAAATTACTCAGTAACAGTAGGCTACAAATCATAATTTCAAATTAAAACTGGTTTAACTGCAATACTGAGTGCAAGAGACCAATCTCTGAATTCAGGAAATTAAGGCAAGTGCAAATATTAAACAGACATTACAAAGAAATTCCATTGAATAAAATAAATATATAGTTCTGTAATTAATTCTGATCAGGCATCATGATTTCAGTCACTTTCTCACCAACTTGATGTGGCTTCACTCTGTCTTTCTATAAATATTTTCATGGCAACTGCTTTGACAAGTTTTTACACCTGGTGCCCTGAATATATGAATTTAAGTGTGCTACTAGATTGGCACTTAGGTCTCACCCCTTTTACTGTTGAAATAGTTAAATGTAACTGCTACTTCTACTTCAACAGTTTCTTTTATTGCATTTCCCATATGTGGAACACTTCCATTTCCTTGCTTTCCAGATAACTACAATGTTCAAAAATTTAAATGCAACATCAGTCACCAATTTGTCTTCTTCATATTTTGTCCTTTTCTTCAATCACCCCAGTTAATCTTTTCTCTCACTTTCACTCCCTGGAAACCCTCTGCATATTAGTGGCATTCCTGCCTTGCTTGGGGTGAAATGATTAACACAATTTAAATTCAATGTCAATCGCCATCTTCTTGAATCCTGTTCATCTTTTGTCCTTTCCTCAATCCTCCCTATACTCAGTCTTTTCTCTCACTTTCACTCCCTGTAATCCCCTGCGTACTAGTGGCATTCCTGCCTTGCCTGGGGTGAAATGATTAACAAAATTTAAATGCAACCTCAATCACCATCTTCTTGAATTCCGTTCATCTTTTGTCCTTTCCTCAATCCTCCCTATATGAAGTCTTTTCTCTCACTTTCACTCCCTGTAACCCCCCTGCGTACTAGTGGCATTGCTTAGGATGAAATAAAAAAAAAAAAAAAAAAATGTTTTTCATAATACATATCAGAAATTCTACTGTATTTGCAAATAGTATTGCCAAAGTTTGGGATTAGATATTCTTAAATATTTAAGTAAATTATTCAAGCAATTTTAGAAAATATAATAAACATATTGAAATCTGCAGATGAACTATTGTTGTCTTTAGACGAGGAAAATTTTATTTTGTATTAAGTTTTGTATTGTGTCTAAGATAAAACTCTAAAGTAAAAAATTGACCTGGTATAATACTTAACTTTACAGTCTATTTCAGCATTTTATAAGATATTTAGCCTGCAAAAAAATAAGGCTTAACAGCCAAACATTTTAAATGTTTTCATAAAAATATGCATGCAATGTATAAAAATGTGCACAAAAGTATTATTTATACATTTTATTTGTTGAAATGTAAAGATTTTTTTTTTCTTAGCTGAAAACTTTAACAGATTATTAATTACATGACAACATTTCTATTTCTACAATCCCTCAACCCTAGGGCATTAAAACTGTAGAACATGGTTTCCCAATCTGGGTGATATCACCCACTGGTGGGCGATTTCAACTGTTGGGTGGGCAACTGAATAGAAAATAGTGGGTGATAAAGAATTTTGAGCATTAAAAAGGTATTTCAACATATGCTAATCATTCTAAAAGAAAAAAAAATATTCAAAGATATGCAAAGAACCTGTATATATATATATATATATATATATATATATATATATATATTAAAAATGGACAAGGTCCGACAATTTATTTATTAAAAACATTTTATTATGTTTTAGTTGTTATTTTATAGATACAAGTATTTAAGCAAATGCTCTGTTTATGATAAACTTGTATTAAATAACATGGTTTGTAGCCTGAATGTCCGAAATTTTCAAATGACGGTTCCAGCAAAATTAGTTCTTATTTACAGATAAAGAACCTGTTATCTTGAAATTGGAATTAAAATAACATCTTTTATTTTCTATGAAAATTTAAACATTCAAAATGTTATTTAATACTGTTTATCATAAACAGAGCATTTGCTTAAATACTTGTATCTATAAATAACAACGTTAAACATAATAAAATGTCTTTTAATAAAATATATATATATATATATATATATATATATATATATATATGGGGAAAATAGAGGTTAAATGGGAATAAATTTTAGATAAGATATAAATATTCCCGCAAACAAGGAATATTTTGGTATTTTCTATTGTCAAGTTTACTTTCGTTTGTTCTTTAATACGATAGCTAATAGCAGCAACGGTCACTGCATTAAGTCATTGTTATTTGTTACCTCCCTTCGGTAGTTTTTTTTTTTTTTTTTTTAATACAACATAAAGACGGTTTATGAACTATTAAACTTTTACCAAACAATTTTGGTATGCTTTTGAATATTTACTATACAGGTGGGAAATTTTAAAATGAGAAAGTGGACAATGAAGCAAAAAAAAAAAATGAAAGAGATTTGTCATACAAGTCGTGGTTCATTTGCAGTTAACCATATATTTTGAACCATGGATTAGAGAAAAAGATTCTTCATATGTTAAGCATTACCAGAAAGAAATCTGCTATTCTTCATTCACATGTACAAGGTGTCCATAAATAATCTGCACAACCTCCACAATTTATTGTATCCAGAATTAAGATCCATCACTATGCTTCTTTGCATGTTAAAGAAATATTATTAAAGTTTTAATTTGCATATAGTTTATTCTTTTTTTTTTAATTCACTTTTGTTTGTCTTTTCAGGTAGATATTAAAAGTCTATTATCCCTAAGTTTTGCTGAAAATGACAACACCACAAAGTGCAATGTCTATCCTGGTTCATAGAGACCAAATCGAACACTAAGGTCAAGCAGAATTACAGTACAAAGTATGAAAAAGATCCACCAAATTGTGTTAGCATCGATTCCAGGCACAAGAGATTTATAGAAACAGAGAATGTATTACAAACAGAATGAGAGTATTGTCTAGATGTGTTGCACACAAACAATGGAACCCATCTGGAAGTGTTCAGATGTGTTTAAGTAAATCTTTACTTATCTGTGTTTTTCAGTAAACTCATTTTTTTTCATGAATTTTAAAAACTGTACAGATAATTTATAGATATTTAGAATGAGGCTATTATGGTTAGGGGTCATTATTCTAGAATATTATACAAAAATAATAAGGCTATTATGGTTAAGATGTCATCGTTCTAGAATATGAGGAGAATATAAAGTATTTTTTAAAGCAAAGATATAAAAAAAAAAACTAAACTTCATCAAAAAGAAAAAAAAAAAGAGAGAGAAAAAGGAAGCGTGATTTTAAGAAATCCTACCATAGCAATAAATCTCCCAATGAACTTGAAGTATAACAAATGGTCAGGATTCACACTAGATGCAGGATTAATTTGCAGACTATAGTTTTTAGTGCTTGCATATTCAAAAAGGCAGTACATTGGGTTGAGAACTTCATGTGAGAGATGGAAAAACCATTCCCTGAAAAGAAAAAAAAAAAAACATCGAAATTATTATGACAATTGGAAATTTCTACCAATACAAAAATATGCAAACATTAGCTGAAGACCATGACAATGCCCAGTTTACGTTAATAATTATGATGGGTTTATATGATAATAGGAGATGTGATAGCCTATTACCAGGATTTATACCAAAATAAAAATATATATATATATATATATATATATATATAGAAAATAAAATAAAACTCCAACAATCACTCTTTAGTTCGAGCTAGCACCACAATAATTACATTGTTTATCATTCTCCCACCACCATTACTAATCACTACTACCAATTTACAATAACTATTAGCCATTTATATTATCATTGTCACCAACCCCTTACACATTTTATCACATCACATCTACTATTATCATATAAAACCCGATATAATTATTAAAAAAAAACTACCCCCTCCCCCAGCATAAAAAATAACCAATAAGGATTACAAAACAAAATTTCTACCAGTTACATATACACAGTCATCAAAAACACGCAAATAAACGGCTTTAAAATAATAGCAAATAAACGGCTTTAAAATAATAACAAATAAACCCTTTTTTTTTAAATTAAAAATAATAGTAATTTTTACCTATCATAATTTTACAGAGACCCCCACCACACGTATATGCATACATGTGAGGAAATATTATTCAGTGAAAATATAGAAAATGCTCTGATTGTTGACATGTATACATTCACGAGAAATTTTCGCTACACTTCCAATCTTTGAATTTCAACATACAAATGCATATGTATAGACACAACACCACCCATATACATACATATGTCAGATCCGAAATTATCCACATATGTTTATATATGTATGAGTCCCAACGGACAAGCAAGTGTGTATGTATGTCTGCGTACCTCATCGATTGATGACATGCATCTATGTTTGCGTTAGCACGATGACATCACAACGACGATTTTCCCCCACCACCCATAATAACACCAATACACGCAATCTACAAAACCCAAATTAAAAAAAAAATTAATCAGTTTGTCTGACAATCGCAAAAGCGTGAAACCCAGGGTCACAAACTCACATCAATCCAACCAAAATATATATATATATATATATATATATATATATAAAAGGAAAAATAAATGAAAAATGTTCATTTTCCAAAGGTTAGGAATCAACCTGTATCAGTACAATATTCAAAAAGTAAATTTAGATAATTGACAGAAATGTGCCAATACATCTGGGTTGGCGATAACTGAGCATTTGTGAAATAATCATCAGTGATCACTTGAGACACTTTCACAGTACAAAGGCCCATACAGATTTCCACCTAAAGGGTTTCCATATGTAGTCAGGAGTGGCTTTCTTAGGCCTGGACGTTTTCATCTTCTGATAATATATATATATATATATATATATATATATATATATATATATATATATAATATTATGATGATGATGATGATGGACTCTCCTGTCAATTATTTTGACACATGAGGATGTAAAAAAATAATTCAGCTTTTATGTTTGTGTTGTATGCGACATTTCAGTCATGCTAGTGACCTGTATGCAAGTTTACATATTGTGCAACAGCAAGGCTCTTGGGAAATAGCAACAAGAATATTTACTGATGCTTTTCACTGTTGTCTTTTGTCAATATGACTGATTTCAAAATTTCTGATACAACTCTGGCACAAATATCTCCAGTTATTTCTATCTGGGGCAAGGTGCTCGAAGTTAGTATGAGGCACATTGACAACTGAGAGGTTACCCCTTTACCTTGTCTTTATACCTGAACCATGGCCGCTCAATATAATATATATATATATATATATAATATATATAATATATATATATATAAACACACAATGACATACTATCTTTAATGTTTTCTTTTCTTTTTGTTGATGCTGGCCCGTACACTTTTCATTCATTTTTATGTATTTTTGTTTTACTTTTTTATGGTAAACAAAATGTTTTATTCTTATTTGATTTTAACATTTAGTTTTTATTGCAATTAATAAAAAAAAAAAAAATACATTCAAAAAAATAGAAATTATATATATATATATATATATATATATATATATGAGAGAGAGGATAAGATTGGTTCTGTGATATTACTTTTTCAAAGCTCACAAATATTTTTTCTTGTTGGGACATTAATAAAAGAAATTGTAATCTTCTACTAAATGGTTACAGTTACAATTGTAAAAAGATAAAACCTTATAAAAGAAATGTTAACACCTTCTTTCCCTAAAAGCATTGTTTACATTTTAAAAAAACATCTTTCCTTGGGCCTAATAATTATGCATATCAAATTTAAGAACAGAATAGTTTTGCCATGTATGGAAGGCAGACAGACAGGGAGATTTTGTTTTTATTATCCAAGTAATTAAAGTTACCTTGCCACACCGCCATAATCCAAACCTTCTTCTCCTTTAAATATGATGTACAATCTTCGTCTTAAGTCATAAGGGGCTAATCTCATAATCTGAAATGAAATAAGAAAAAAAATTTAAATTAAAAAAAAAAAAAAAATTTATAGAAGCCAACCAACTAGACTCGATATAGCACCACTCTTCACAAATTCTATCATGTAACTCATCCAAGTTTACTTAGTCCCCCATGAGTCATGTCTCCTATCCCCAAGTCGCTCCATCCAGAGTACAGTCATAATAAATAAATAAATATACAGGTTGTCTCAAAAGTCACCAAGGGGTTTGAAAGTGTAATAACTTCTTCGTTTATTAACTTTTTAGTATTCTTTCAGGTACTTCATAAAGGCAGCTTTGAAAATGAATCATGTAAGAATACACACCTGAAAAGCAAACACAAGTAGTGAAATCTTTGTGCTAAAATCAAGGATTCAACTCATATTTTTGCCATTGTAGGGATATTATTATTATCATTTCCTTTGATTTCTCTGGTGTGCATTCATTTCTTCCTGGGTCCCACCTAGAGACCTAAGGTCAGAAATGTCATCATGACATTTTCCACTGAGTAATTTAAAAAAACAAAAAAGACATACATGCACATATTTTACATCGATAAAGCCCTTTGTAAAGTGGAGGCTGCACTCGTGAGAACAATTTTTTGTATTTCTTTGAGGCATGGGCTACCAGGAATCCCTTCAATAAGTCTATTGGAATCTTTTCCAATCAATCCGATTATTTCCAACTACAACAGGAATTGTTGATGTTCTCATGTGTCACATTTTTGAGATTTCAATTTTCAGGTGCTCTTAATTCGATAGCTTTTTGAAGCTCTTCAAACATATATTGTCTGCAGGGACTGTCATATCAATAAGGAGGCACTTTTTTGTTTGCAGTCTCTTATTATTATTATTATAAATAAATAAAAATAAAATATAAAATAATAATAATGAAAATTATAAATAAAATAAAATTAAACACTAACATGAAAATGTTGTATAAAATGAATTAAATAAAAGTTAAAAATAATAAAAATATTCTCAGCATGCAACAAAAACTGTTCCTGCCGGAAATATGGACAGCCAGCCAAAAGACATTAAATTCATTCTCTTCACCACAAACTTTGGTATGGGCAACACATACCCAACTTCTCTCTGTAATATAACTTGTAATACTATGGAGTAAATTTCCCCCTTTTATCACATGTACCATACAACAATTGTAACCTAAAAAATACACACACAAAAAATATAATTGTATGAAAGTAACATACTTTTCCTGTTTGTGTATATTTTATTTCCTGTCAAGTATACTTTTATCTCCGTGAAAATTAAGTTAATTTTGGCTGCTATGAACTGAGTGAACCATATCCCTACACCATTACAGTGTTAGAGAATCTACAAGTTTTGAGAAAAATAGTTCAGAAAGTGACATAACACGTTCGGTTAGGAATTAAGGCGTATTTGAGTGAGTAAGAAAGAGTATTGAAGAAGATCTGATGGTAGACTTGACAGATTTACAACTCTCAGATGTCACTCCAAGAAATTTTTAAATGCATCAACCTGTTTCCATATAACAAGATAGGGCAACAGCTCTTAATGTCAAAGGCCACAATCCAGCTTCTCAGGCAAATCTGGGAGCAAAGAATAATTTCTCACAGCTGCGGCATAAGCTGGACACCGTCTTCCCCAGATGCAGATGTCCCAAGCTCCAGACTCTCCAACAACTGAAGAACAACATTCAGACAGACACCAAAGCGCACAAGAACCTGAAACACTGAAAGCCATGATGGAAAAATAACTTAGAAATGGCACATTCATATAAAGCTGAAAATGGATGCCACTTAAAAGATGTAATTCTTTTGCAACTAGTGTAAATTTATTTCCCATATCTACTCTATATAATAGTATGAAATTGTGAATTGAAGTTAAAAAATAAAGGAGTTATTAAATTTTGAAATCCCTTGGTGACTTTTGGGACATCCTGTATAAAGTAAAAATTAGTACAAAAAATAATCTTCATAATTAGAAAAATTAAAGATTGATAAATTAAAAGACAAGACAAATGTATAAATAAATTATAAATTAAGAGATTTCACAGGAAATGTTTTAAGCAAAGAAAATGTCTTTAAATTCTTTTGAGCCTCAATAATAATTCATAATTGGATAATATTAAAAGAAAAAAAAATGATTACAAACCTGAGTGAAAGAATCTTCAAATAAATTGTCTCTGGAAACAGTGATTTTTACATGACCTTGTAAAGCATTGGAGTGACACAAGTAACGAAACTGACCCAATTTCCAGCGGAAACTTCTTTCATATTGAATTGGAACACCAAAAGCACCTTTGGGTCTTAAAGTGAGAAAAAAAAATATCAAATTTAATTTTATTAGACAGCAAATATAGTAAAAAAGAAAATGTGAAGTGTTAATGTTTGAAAGCATTCTTAGGTGGGTATTCTAGAAAGTATGTTAATGATTGATGGCATTATAGATTTCATGGTAAAGTTATTTATAACAAAGAGCGGCAAGATTTGTTGCAATAAAAATAAAAAATAAAAAAAAAAAATAAAAATCGCCAACAAAATAAAAAAAAACTGAACCAAATTAATACAGTCTTTATTTTGATGTGCTATAATGCATACTTTTCAACTGTCTAATGTAAGAATAATCAATTATAATAATACATATGAATTATGCTTTACTAATTATATAAAACAACTAAGTCAGAAATTTGAAAAAGGTAATAAAAAATTGGATACAGAGAATGTTTGAAAGAATTTGTGTATATAATTAATTATAAATATACCACACATATAGTGCCGGGATAATAAAACAGTGCTTGATGTAATACAAGAGCTATTAAGTATATATTAATAAATATACATATTATTCCTCACCGACAATACGACTAAGTTTCATGCACAATGCAATTTTCAGGTGCTGAATATAGACTGACCGTTATATAATTTAAATTTTAATAAAAGTGTCTAGTAATCGCAATGTTGGTGCAGTTACAGATTATACTAGGATTACAGTTTTTTAATTTTAAAAATTATATTTGGCATTTAAATTATATATATATATATATATATATATATATAAAATGTAAAAAAAAATATTTTAGAGTTGTGAATATTAGTTTTTATATTAAGCATAAATAAGAAAAACAACAAAAAAGCAAGCATAATATACATTAAAAAAAGTTAATATGGATTAACATATTTAAGCAAATTTTTATTTTTTAGGCCAACATGTAACCATCAATTCATTTCTCTTGTTTAATAATCTATGGTTATTTAAGTGTTTTAAGATAGCTAATTTTTCAGCAAGACATAAATTACATCTATTGCCTTTTCCATTGTAAGATTTGGCTCTTCTATAATATCCGACGTGATAAAAAGTTCTTTAATTGCCAGAAATATTTAAAGAGAGAGAGTAGTGTTATTTTTGTATTTTATATTGCCTAAAGTCATTTAATGATGGTAGAAACAAAATTTCCAAGGATTTTCAGTGGAACCAAAATAAAATTTAACACCATTACCAGAATGTATGCTAGTTTAGTAAACAATATTATCAGTCATACATTTAAGGGACAGATCATACTTTTTTGGCAGTTGCATTTATTTTTTAAAAAAAATTGTTATCTTTGTCAGGAATTATTTATATATATATAACACAAATTAAATTTGTTGCATACAGCAACTGACCACTACTGCCAGTTGCATGATTTCATGCAGTTGTCAGGCATTGGCAGCTGGAGTGCTAAAACTGGAACTTTTCCACCCCTAGGCAAGCCTGAGATGTAAAAAATATGGCTGATGCTGGATATGATGTACACACTGACCAAACTCACCTGGAGTGAGGAAGCACCCATCTGGGTAAGATCAAAAAAGCTATAAACACACAATTATATACCACAAAAATGAACTTAAAAAAAAAAACACAAGTAGTAGTTCACTGGTGTGGCAAAAAAAAAAAAAAAAAAATGCTGTGCCACAATAAAGGATTTTTCACATATGTGAAAAATCCTTGAGTTTTTATATCTCTCCTTCCCAAACATATATAATATATAATGCCATCAACAAAAAAAATTAGTCCAATGAAGATGAAACATGTTACACACAATTTCTTCACTTTGTCATTCATTTGCTTTTTTTATATATATATATATATATATATATATATATCAATCCTCATAAGAGTTTGAATTCAGAGTTGTCCTTCTCCTAGACGATTTGCCATCAAAGGTTATTACAGATCCCAGTCTGTCCTTAAATAACAAAAAGTGCGGTTGGTTCTGCACAAAGCCTTCACCACTATAACCAAATCACATGTGCTGGTGTCCTAGGAGCTGAGCTGCTTGACCCTCATACGTCGAATACGATGGGAGAGTCCATATATATATATATATATATATATATATATATATATATATGAGAGAGAGAGAAATTTTATTATGTTCTCTAAATTAAATTTTTGCAACTAATGAAAATTATGCAACAAATATAAATTTACCTAAATTTATTTAAAAGTTAAAAACTTTCTGCAATTTGACAATTTAAAATTTCAATAAGGTCATCTAAAGAAGAAACTTGCAGCAAGGGAGATAATTTTAATAAATTCCACTCAAACCAACAAAACTCACGGCAACAAATTAAAATTTAAAAAATAAATTACAGGAGAATGTAATTTACATATTGATTATCTCTAATGATAATGATGATAATTTGATACATAATTCACAGGTTAAGAGCTAACAGTGGCTGAAAGAAACAAGTATAAATTATGGTGGGAATATTTTAAATAATAGCAGAGCAAGAGAAAACTTTTTGGTCTCAAGTCATTCATATGCAAAATTATGGCAAAGATGCCAAATAATTTATATCAAGAAAAATCATTTGTATTTTAAATTCTAAACATTTTTGGTTTAAAGTTTAAAAAAGATTTTTAAAGAAAATTATTTCTGCTTTGTGTGTATGTGAATTATGATATATATATATATATATATATATATATAAAAAATTATTTTTTTAATTTAATTTTTTTATAATGAAGAAACCCTTCAAATTAGTTGGGCATAATTTTATAAAGTCTTGTTTTATAGAAAAATATATCAACTTTGAAAGTTAGAAATTTCAAAACCATTGTTTTAGAAAGCAAAAAAATGTATACCACAAATGAACCATATCTGAAAACTTATGCTCCTCCTCCTCATTTTAGAAACAATTAAAAAACGTAGAACATTGACTAACATATATATCAACAAAACTAAAATGCACAATAGTCTACAAGTAATTTTACTCATTTCAAGTCATCTATACAAATCTTTTATATAAAAAGGTCTCAAAATTGATCTGACTGAAATTAGAAAAACCAATGAAAAATGAATTTAAAAAAAAAATGTCAAATTTGATATAAATTTTGCTTTTGCATTAACATTTTAATAAGTCAAAATTTAAAATAAAACAATTAAAATCACTAACAAAGGACTAGCAAAGAGTTTGGGAAACTGGCATTTTACATTCTACAAACTTGGGTCACAACTTATGCTGGGGTACGGGGCTGGGGAGTCTATGTTGTTCATTACGTGAAAACAGGATTAATCATAAATCTAATTAAGCTATTAACAATAAAATATATTACAAAAAAATAAATAAACAAAATAGGGGGGGGCACAAATTTTAAATTTCTACTCACCCTTTGCAGGGACCACCTCGAGGATCTTGGAATGTGGTGGTCCGAGTATTATGGTCCACAAAGTAGCGGACATTTTCTGCAGTATAACGCATTTCCCAGCCTTCTGGCAAGGGATCTTCTTGAAGAATTCTGCTGACAAATCAAAAATTAATTTATTGAATCTAAACAAAACAGAAAATAATGATTAAAACTGTTCCATTTTTAAAATTACCTGCCCTCGCACCCTGAATAAAGCTAATAAACTGAGAGAGGGAGACTGTTGTAACATTCAAAAACCAAGCTTGTAATATTTCATCGTCACTGAACAGGCCCCACGTTTTCTTCAGGCATAATGAACGGATATACTCTCAATAAAGCTCCTTATCTCAAACGTCTATTGGGAATCAAGCTCTCAGCATATGGAACTTGTCATATATGATTCAGGGCTAAAAATACTGAAAAATAGTCTGTTTTTTTTTTGGGGGGGGGAGATAATAATGGTTTAGGGATACAAGTCTTACTAATTAACCCATAGCTGGGGGAAGAAAAGATGGATTCTTACCAAATCAGAATTTGATAAACAAACAAGAAATTATAATGTAAATATAAAGTGGTGGATCAATTCTTTATTAAAATCAATATATAAACTGATCTCTCAATTTGTGGTCACAGTAATTTCTATACATTTATATTCCAGAAAATGTAAATAATTCTAAAAGACATGCCTGTGAAGCTAATCAGTATTTCATATTAAGTGATTTCTTTTCAATACTTTGCAGGTTATTTAAAGCCAGAAAATGTTGTGTTATCCAGAAAGTTCATACCAATTTTTAAGGGAAATTTAAAACACAAAACTAAATATGAACCCATTTGTTGCACAACCTTTCTCCACTTTTCCCCACAAATGAAACGTTGCTAGCCTCTCACTATAATTGCTATTTTCATAGCAGATGTTCAGGTAAGCTACATTCCTTCATAGCACCAGTCCAAATCTTCAGAGATAGAACCCACCATGCCACATCCACAGAGGTGAACCATCTTCATTCCCTTTGTATTGCATTAGTAAGGAGGAAGTTCCATTCAGACAACTTCTTCCCCAGAAGAGTTACATTGTGGAACAGACTACACTATAATGTTAATCTCATCGACTGTTATCTATCCTACATATCCTCATGATATGTATTTCTCACTCCTTACATGCTCTTACAACAAAATTAATTTTAGTAGCCTTCGACCTTCACTGACTCTTAGGCAAAGTATTGGGTGAACAACAACAACAAAAAAAAAAAAAATACTATATGGGATTTGTTTTTATTGTAAGTTTCCATTTTGATAATTTCCTTATACAACAGATTTAATCTCATAAGAGCAAATGGTCAATCAAAATTTGAAAAATTTTACAAGTACAAAGCAGCTAAAATAAAAAAATGTAATTTCTGTCTGAATTTTTGGAATGGGGAATTATTTACATGCAGACTATTATCCTCATCTTGGTTGTTGCTATCAACATTTTGGCCCACCAGCCTTCAGTTTACCAGGATCAACATACACTTTGATGAAAGTAAATTGGCAGTTAGGTCTTATCATTTTACAGTTGAATTATCTAGATGTAACCATAAGTTCTTTGCTAACAGTTTCTTTTCACACACACTTTGCTTTCCAACCAACATTGGCCTTCAAAAATTTAAATGCAACGTCAATCATCATCATCATCTTCTATCTCCTTGAATCCTGTCCTTTTATTGTTCCCTCTCTTTAATGATTTTTTTTTCTCTCAGATTCTTTCACTCTCAGTAAGTTTTTGTGTCTTAGCGGCTTTATCACCTAGCCCAGGGTGAAATGTTTGACATTATGGACTGATACACTCTTTGACCTCAAGAGCAAAAGAATCTAGAAACAAAATACATTTTGACAAAGCTTCAACATTCCACACATCAGGAAGTCATTTTTATGTTATTCTGCACCACCACTCCTATTTTTTTTTTTTTTACAACATTTGAATCCCAATATCAATGTGTGAGTAATGTAATGATTCTCAGTACAGAAAATGGAATGGGCAATCAATTTCAAATTCCAGCTTAGCCTGTTGTACTTAATTCCTACAGATGTTCTTAATTGATTTTTTTTTTTTTTTAACAACTTATCAATTTTTTGCAGGTTATTTAAAGCCACACAATATTTGTATATTGTAAGAATGTTTTGGAGGTAATGATTTTACTGATACAAGTCCTACTAATTAACCCATAGCTGGAAGGGAGAGAAAAAGTGAATTCATAACTTTCCCAAGGGTCATAAGTCAATATAATGAACCTGACTGGAATTCAAACTCAGCTCCAATTTCGAATTCCATTACACCAAATCTCACATCCAAGCTTAGAGCACCTGTTATTCCCAAGCAGTCACCCATCTAGGTACTGACCAGGCTCGACATTGCTCTTCAGTGATCATACAAGAACCAGTGTTTTAACATGATAGACAAAGATTCTTAAGGAAAGTATCCATCTCTTCTTCCCTCCCCACTAGCTAAATGCAAAACAGTAGGACAGACTGTGGGGATGAGAGTAGGTTGGCAACTGAATTGAAACCTGTTCGGCATGGGACTAAAAACTTCAAGCCATAAAAACCTGCTTGCTAATGAAATCCCAACATCATCACTTTGTTGGTGTTGAGTCTCCTTAGAAAGTTGGCAGATTCAAAATTTAAGGCCGCTTAATGAAGGCTGGACAGTTTCCTCACAGATTAAGAAGAGACTTGAAGTGACAGAGATGTGATTCTACTGACAAATGCTAAGAATACCATCAACAGAATATGTGAGCAATAAGCAAGTCTTGTGTAGTAACAAGGTAATTTATACTTACAATCAGAAAGAAACAATTTGAATTTCTGAGACATATGAGGAAAGAGGGCTTGAAGAATTTGACACTCACAGGGCATAGTGAAGATAACATGACCACCAAAGGGAAAGTAACCTACCAAATGGATGGCAAAACATGGGCTGGGAGGGATAGCAAGTGGACAAACATTGCTTAGAGCTACAAAAGATAGGACGTTGTGGAGAGTCATGATCAACCTCCTTAACAAGCTCGTGTAAATGGATGGTAGCACATGAACTAGGAGAGATAGTAAGAGGATAAACATTGCTTAAAATTGCAAAAGATGAGAAGTAGAAAACTATTTTCACACACATCCTGGAGAGATTTGATATATAAAAGAAAATACCTCATCTAAATATCTTTAAAATGTCGTCAAATTCTCTCTGGGTGTGAATAATAACACCAGATATCCCTAAACATGAACACCAAGGTGAGAACACTCTTCCCACTCACCTCCACAGTAGATTAAATGAAAGATTTAGTTGAAAATTCCTTGAAGGTTACTCAGATTGACAGACACCTGAAGAAGGCTGGAGAACATAATGGCTGATCATTGTGATAATGACAGAGATGAGGACATCAATCCGAATTTAAATAATGGTCAGGTTTTTATGAAAAAAATTCAATGATATTTTTATCTTGTATTCATATGTACACGAAAGGGCTACATTTCAGTATCTCTTTAAATTATATATCAAGTGTTTTTTTTTTTCCTGACTATAAATATTTTGTAAATTTTTCTTCATTTATATGAATGAGAATTTTCCAATTTATATATCAAACATTTTTTGCATTGACAAAAGCAAATATTAAAATGCACTAACATTAGGAATACATGAACAGTTATAAAAAAAAAAAAAAATGAGCTTATAAGAACATAAGTGAAAACTATTTTATAAGTCTAAGAAAGGGATTCACTCACCCTTGCGTCCTAGGATCTTCCCATTGGGTCGTTCGATTTTTGTGATTAACAAAATACACTCTGCCATTTGCATCAACTCTTTTCTCTGAAAAGATTTTTTTTCATTTAGTTACAAAAGGTGTTTATAAAAATATTTCATTAATATTTTATAAACTGCTTTTAAAAGGTATACCAATAGAAAATACATTTTCAAGACAAAGAATAGAAAAAAATAATATCAGTCCATTTTTGCCACTAAAAACAAAATATAATAGAAAAATACATTAACATTGGTAAGTTAAATTTATGAAGGTTCAATACAAAAACATACAATATTGTTAATAGCACTTCAAACAAAGCCTTTTATGATACAAAAGTTACAAATACTTAAGGCATTATCATTGAGGAAGACACTAAAACATCTTGTAATATTAGGTTTTTTAATATTTTGTCAAAGATCAGGAAGGCTACAAGTCAAACTAATGCAAAAAATGCTTAGAAAGCATTGAAATCGTTGAGGAAGACACTAAAACATCTTGTGTACATTTTTGAAAAGATTTTAACCAGTTCAAAGAGAGAGGACTAAAAGCTTCAAATATTAAATTTGACAACTACATATCACACTCTAAATGGTAAAAGAAATATAGTTTAAAAAAATCTTTTTAATGTATATGAAACTTAAAATTTATACTATTAAAAAATGTGTCTAAAAAAAAATAAATAAAAATTGATTCAGAATTATGATGTTAAAGAAAAATAAATTATATGACAAAATATCAATTTTCAATAAGCCACTATTGTTTACGATTGTCAAATGTTTCAGCCTATCTAACACTCTTAACTTGGTGACAGGTGGTTCAACTGCTCAAACAATGCCAAAAAAAAAAAAAAATAAAAATAAAAGGTGATTATAATTCTTGACTGCCATAAGTAGTGTGTGGAACAGTAGTTTCAGCCATCAATAAATTACACCTGTTAAATCGCTTGTCAGCTGACTATTATAAATTTATTGCAAAACACATACTCTAACTTCTGAACCATATTGATATTAAAGACATCAGAACTGTTTGCAAACCTTTTTTAAGCAAAAATTAGAGACTCTTTTATACAATTCAGTAAAAAAAAAAAACATGAAAATCTTTTTCAAACTCTTTATGTGGCAATTATTTATGGTATGTTTTCATTCAGGTTTCAGATTTTTAATGAGTAGACATCAAACGATAGGGCAATGAACACTGACTTTTAAAATAATCATCAAATTGTTATAATTAATGAAAATTTAAAAAAAAATACATATATATATATATATATATATATATATACCGTTTATTTAACAAATAAAACAAGCCTAATAAATCCAGGGACGTGGAAGCCGAGTCAAAAGCAATTAAGTGGTCACTGGAGTCAAAGTCGTAAAAACTATACAGATTGAATTGAATTTACACTATGTAAAAAGTTTTACATTATAGCATTTTTATTTTATTTCTTCTATATCCTTTCAAAGATTTTGTCTCTAATTCTGTTAGAAAATATTGAAGAATGAATAGGCATGATATAAAAGCCACAATATCTTTATTCTTTGATATAAACCAGTTATGATGATATACCCCGACACAAGTTAGGAGCATATGCATAGGCTTTATGAGATTTGTAGGCCATAATCACTTCAAGAGAATTCAGAGATGCCAAAAATAGAGAGTCAGATTCGAAGATTTTGTTGACTCCACAGCGCTGAATAATTCTATATTTCATTTTTTTGCTTATAGAATATCAAAAATTTGGCTCAAAAATCTACCTACCCGCCTTGGAGGCATCCAAAGTCCACCTACCCGCCTTGGAGGCATCCAAAGTCCACCTACCTGATTACTTTTTTATGTTCATTCTTAATTTCTTTCAGCTTTTTTTTTTTTATTAAAACTTTTTCAAGCCATCAATCTATCGTACAGACAGCATAGATCAAAAGTAAAAAAATAAGCTATTAATAAAATTTGAACTTTTGTATCAATTCCCAATCTGCACTGTCTACTTATTACCACAGATTAACAAATAATAAGAAAAAAAATCAATAATAATGTTTGATAATGACTTGCCTAATAATAAAATACTTTTAGAAATATTCTTATCGATAATTAGGAAGAAACACATTTTTCATGTTACCAAAGACTGATTGAGAACCAATTTAAAAAAAAAAAAAAAAAAAAAAAGGTTGTCCATACCCCATCCCTGAGGAAGTGCATCTTGGGAATCACTTTCTGAAGACAACAGTGGATTCTGTGGGTACAAAAATCTCTGTTGTAAATGTTCCATGGTTCTGTTATTACGCCATTGCTGCCACTGCTGCCAGTTGAGGACCATGTCCATGTTAGGCTTCTGCCACGTTGTTGTGCGTGTGTTGTGATCAACATAATAAACACGTCCACGGTTATCAACACGACGCTCCCATCTAAAATCACATGAAAATTTTGACACAAATTAAAACAAGTTTTTAACAAATTTAACATTCAAACCTTCCATGAAGAAACAGAATTCATACAATCTTTTTCTTGTAAAAAAAAAAAAAAACGGACTAAAAAAGAAACAATTATTACTGAAAAATAACCATTTTGAAACCAAAACTGACAAAATTTAATGGAAAATAAAAGAAGGTTGTGCTTACCCTAGAGGTAAGGGCCTCTCCCAAGTAGTAGTTCTTGTGTTGTGATCTACATAATATGGCCGACCTTGCGGATCAAACCTCATTTGCCAACTGATAAGAAAAAATAAAACAAAAAAGGGGGGAAAATATTAATTATATAATAAAAAAAATTATTTGAAGAGAGAACTCAACCAAAAATATGTAATATATTCAAATAAGTTTTTTTTTTTTTTTTTTTTTTTTTAGAAAATTACTTAAATGAAAAATTCAGAACTTATTTGAAATCTTTATAGCTATCCATAAATTTAATTATTACAAGTTATTTTGTAAAATGAAATGAAAATAAATTCTAATTTATAATTTAGAAAAGAATTAAAAACTAATCATGAAAGTAAAACTAAACAGAAAACCTGTTGTGAAATTGAACTATTTTATTCTAACAAATTGTCTTCATTAAATACTGCTTTCTCTGTTTGGTTGGTTTTGTTTAGTAGCTTATCAAACTCTATGGGTTATTTAATGCCAAATATTGTGTACACATTTTTCTCAATGGTTTTAGTGATACAAGTGTTACTAATTAATCCATAGCTATGAGGAGAGGATGTGGATTCATACTTTTCCCAAGGATATTTATGCGTTAAATGAATATAACGAACCCAACAGACACTGGAACTCAGATCTCTAATTAACAATTCCAAGCCATTATCCATTAACACCACCTGCACATCCAAGCTTATAACACTTGTTATTCTCAAGCAGTCACCCATCTAGGTACTGACTAGGCTTGACAATGCTTAACTTTGGTGATCATACAGGAACCAGTGTTTCTACATGATGTGGATATTTAAGAAACAATCTTTAACATTTTCACTTTGGTTTATTGGCACCATTTGTTCTAACAGGGTTACTTTTATGTTGAATAAAACCTTAGAAAATGGTGTACCATACATACATACATACTAGAGTATAGTATGAGTGTGTCATGCAGAAAATAGTGGAAATAAATATGCTGTTTAATAAATATGGAGCATCTACTCAAAATATGAATATCCACTAAAAACAAAAAAAAGTGATAAAGTGTTCATGCATATTATATATATATATATATATATATATATATATATATATATATATATATACACACACAATTAAATAATGCTTCTTAATATTATAAAATAGTCATTCAAAGAATAAATCAATCAAGTTAATGTAATTAATGGTGTAATTAATTTTTGTCTTGGAATTTTAACTGAAATTGAGAAAAAATAAAAACTATGCCTGAGGATGGTAAATGATTTTACCAAAAGTAATTACAAGCAATATGGACTGAACATCTAATCCATTGTAGAATTAATAAAAACAAGGATCATGTCGTTCAGCAAGTGGTCAGTGAGTTAATGCCTTCTTAATCTGTTAGCAAAGCGAGTTCACCATTAATTACATTAAGTTTATTGATTTATTCTTTGAATGACTATTTTACAATATTAATTAAGCAGCATTAATTATATATATATATATACTTTTTGAAGTATTTTATTGTATATTATATTTGTGGCTTAATAGTAAAAAAATTTAAATTTCAAGGATATGATTTAATTTAAAAGTTAAAGTTAAGTTTTTACAGCATATTTTAATGGTAGCATTTATTGTTAAATATATATATGTGCATGCATGCATGCACACTTTATCACCTTTTCTTTTTAGTGGATATTCATATTTGAGTATATGCTCTGTTTATTTATTAAACAGTATATTTATTTTCATCTACCGACATGAATATTTGAGAAACCTTATTAAAAGGAAAGCTGCGCCCTCTGGTAGGGTTCAAACCTGCATCCCCCACCCTGAAGAAACCGTGGTTAGATTTGACATGCTATAGACCAACTGAGCCACAAAGTATCTTGCCATTGAAGCAACGCAAAATGTCTTCAAAAATTCTTAATCTTTAATAAGATTTCTCAAATTTTCAGGGTGACAGATGAAAATAAAAAATCCATTACTTCATTAGAAATTGTTCATATATGTAAATAAACGTAAAAAAAATGTAAAAAAATGTTGGACAAAGTGTAAAAAGTTTTCTTGTGATGCATTTTTTGCCTTTAGGATGTTAGACTAAATTTGTTATGTGGCAACAACTATATATGCACATGAACCAACAATGATGAGAATTATAAATGTGTGTGTGTGTGTGTGTGTGTGTGTGTATATATAGTTTCTAGATGTTTCACCAATGTACATCAATAGGAATTTTGCGCAGTCTATTTTGTATGCCCATTGAGTTAAATCAGTGAAACACCCAGAAACCTCAAAAAAGACCATATAAAGACTGCAGAGATATTCTGCATGACAACAGTGTGTGTGTGTGTGTTTATATATACCAAGTGATACATTTTTACAAACAGAATAAAATCGTAAATTGTATTCGACAAGAGACCATTAATTATCTGTCTATATTTCTGAGATAAGGTACTATGTATATTTTTTACATTATTCGGACTATTATCCTCATCTTTGTTGCCATATTTATCATGTTTCAGCCATTGTATGCTCCAGCCTTCTTCAGGTGGTTGGAATGTCAAACTGAACCCTTTATTTCGCTCACTGCGGTAGACTGTTCTAGTTCCACATGCCATGTTTAATGGATGTCAGTTATCAGTTATCTCCTGTTAATTCCCCTCTCCAAGTTCTCCACTGCCTTAACCGGGTATTGAACTCACACTCTTTGGGTCATGTCACTGGATCTAACCAACGCCTTTATCCACTGTGCCAATAAGGAAATAAAGGGTTCAGTTTGACATTCCAACCACCTGAAGAAGGCTGGAGCGTACAACGGCTGAAACATTGTGATAAATATGGCGACAAAGTTGAGGACAATAGTCCGAATAATGTAAATAAAGACCATTAATTGTTCTGTTTTATATGCCGTTTTGGAAAGTAAAGCCTTCTGACCCACAATTCTAAGGCAATGTGAAACATTTCTCAGGCAAACCCAAAGACAAAAATATTTTGCTGCCTATTTGCTTGATGGCTCGACTTGCCTTAGTGGGTGTATGTGATGCCCTAAGTTAGTGGATACTTACCCCGGGGGCAATGGATCCTGGGCTTGTTGAAGTTGGGCTTGAGCTTGTGCTTGAGCCTGAGCTTGAGTGGGTGGGGTCTGGGATGAGGCCTGTTGGGAAGCATAATTGGGAGCAGCCCCACAGACTCCGTCAGCAGCAGGAGAAGCAGCAGCTGCGGCACCGTTTGCACTTGAACCAGCTGTGACTCCGGCATTGGATAATGGAGAAGGTGGAACAGAATTCACTGCAGGCGGAGACACAGGACTTGGCGCCACTCCATTCTGTAACTGAATTGGATTTGGTACAGAGCCACCTTCAGCTCCTCTGACACCTGGCGACAAAGAAGTATCTGGAACAAAAGAGAGACACAGGTTTAAAGTAAACATCAGATGCTTTTATTCAAACATCTGTACATTTTTAAATATATGATTGAGGATAATTACTCTTTTGTGCCACCATACACCCACTGTGTCAATAAATATTAACAAGTGACCAATCTAAGTGGATTCCATAGGTTAATATAGAAATTAAATTTAAAATGTTGCTATTTTAAACTAAATCAACAGTTTTAGTGTTAAAGACTACCTTGTGTCATTTTTTTTTTTTTTTAATTCAGAATTTTGGTATTAAAAATAAAAAAATTAATTACAATTCATCATATACTACATTAAAGTTTTTTATATATATATATATATATATATATATATATATAAACAAAAAGAAAAAACAAACTTACCCAGCCCCATATTTTGAAACCAAAAGGATTTTATCATTTAAGACCTTACTTGTTGCCTGACATTTCTATTGCGTTAAAATAAAATATGAAGGAGGTTAACATTATTATGTGAATCAACTAACACTGTGAGTAGAAATGAACAAGAATTGGTATCACAGAGACAAAATAACAAAAATCAACAGATATATCATAGCAGTCAAACAAAAGGCATTATTATGCCTATAATAACATCTATAATCAAGAGAACAACAGTTCAAACTACTAGTATACTGAGGATCGTTCATAAACAAAAATTCAACTTAAAAAATTCCCTTATAATTAGTTTATTTCACTTATATATTATTTTAAATTAACTGTATTTGAGGTATTTTCAAAAAATCTTTAATATCTCATTTTTAAATATTTATTGTGATGGTGTGAAGTGGCACAAAAAAAGTTTATGACTAGGGGAATTTTTTACCATTTTTCATCAGCAACCAATTTATTCCATTCTGTGAGTTAAATAATGTGGAATTACAAGCCTTTTAAACACAATACAATCAAATACAATTATTTTAAAAGCAAAAACCTCAAAGTAAAACTAAGTGAATAAAGAAGCACGAGTAAAAACTTATTACAAATTGATCTAGTCAGATTAGTCTTATCATGATTGTTATAGTTACATTTTTTTTTAGTCATTATATTCTTTAGGTGTTCAGTTTTCTGTTGTATTTTGTAACAATTTCAGAATTCCAAACTGAACCTTTTATTCAAGCAACAGGGATAAAACATTCATGAAAAGAGGTATCACATAGAAAATACTTCATATTTGGTTTTATTCCTGTTATCTTCAACTCCTATCAGCACAACTTGCCTCCTAATGTAACCCTCTACCTTGAGTGGCCGACAGGCCATGTAAAGTGTGAACCTTACTAATAATAAAAAAATAAATAAAAATAATAAACAAATAAATAAACAAATAAATAAATAAATAATAAAAAAAAAATATTCCACTACACATATGCAAGTGTCTCCCACTGCTTAACTCAAGGGATGAACTCTTAGTCATCAGGTAACTAGTTGCCCATTTGGGTCAAAGACAACACCATGTACTGCAATGGTGTGTCTTGGCCAACATAACCTGATGGAGCCAATCCCACTTCAGGCTTTTTTTTTTTTTTTTTTTTTACTACAGTTTTCTTTCTTCTAGACTAGCTGCCACATCAAGGCAAGAGATCCCAGTCTACCCTACTATTCATGCCTTTTTCAACAGCTTTAGCACAAAGTGAACAAAACTGAATAGAGCAGGAATTCAATTTGGTATACTGGACTCAATTTGGTGCCATTACCACAGTATTATCTACAGCACCAGTAGGAGCAAAAAGCATTTAACTAATGCTTTGATGATGGCATAAAAAAAAAGCTGTCAATCAAATGGTGGAATTTTAGATCTTAGGATGTTGGGCTCCAAAAGAACCACTATTAGTTCAAATAGATCAATGTATAATGATGATAATTCTTTAATATGCAATCAATCTATACAATCATTCTGGTCATGTTACAAGGATGAGTGATGACAGAATACCTAACAAGCATATGTGGGTAATCTTTATTTACTATATATATATATATATATATAAAATCTCCTGGTGTTATTTTTTCAGAATGTATTTTGAAATCTTGCTGATTAATCCTAAAAAAATAAACAGCTATCAATTTTCCCCTGCTAGTTTTTGATTTGTTTAGCGCGCGCGCTCACACACACAATTTTACATTAGCAGCAATGTGAAAATTTTGTTTTACCAATCATCAAGCATCATCAGAAAAAGAGTTTAATTTCACAAAAAAAATTTTTTTTTTTTTTTAAATCAAAAAAATTTTTTTTTTTTAAATTAGTCAAATTCTAATTTCTATAACAATACAGTTACCATAAAAGCATTCAAGAGGCTTAATGGATATTTTGTTCTTGGTGGAAAAAAATTATTTTTCTGATGAGAAAGTGGTGAAACATATGAAAGTAAACATTTTTTCCAAATTGTTTTGTATATCTATTTGCAATTAACAGATATTTGCTCTTATGTAAACATAACGTAAAATTACTTATCCGCATATCTGCTACTCCATAAAGAATCTTTAAAGTGACTTTTTTTTTATGAATACAAGTTCACTTCAGTCTATTTAGCTTCAACTTGTCTCTTAACAAAAGAAAAGATGATTACAAAAGTTGGCTGAGGTAACAACCAATCATCAATGGTTCTAAGAACTTTCTATTTCAAGAAGAAAAATTCTCAGACATTTGTTAGTCTTTTGCATTCCTCAGAGAAAACCATGCACTTGTTACCCCTCGGTACAGACAATACATCATACTAATGTAAGTTTTCATAGTAGGTCTAAAACTGATCTTAAACAAAGCATCAACATTCAAGTGTCCCAAAACTGATTGATTGATTTGTTTTATTTTTAAAGCTTATCAACCCTTAGCATTTAAAGCCATCAAATATTTTTACATTGTAAGAAGATGATGATTTTATTGATACAAATCATACTAGTTAACCATAGCCAACGGAGAGAAGTGAATGGATACCTTTTCCCAAGAGTATTTGAACATAAGTGAATATGACTGGAATTTGAACTCGGCTCTCTAATTTCCAATTCAAAGCCCTTATCCACACATCCAAGCTTACAGAATCTGATATTTCCCAAACAGTCATCCATCTAAGTACTGATCAGGCTCAAAATTGCTTAACTTTGGTGAGCACACAAGGAGCAGTGTTTCAACATGATATGGCAGTAGGACTTCAGATAAACCTTTCTGAAACAAAAACCTATGATATGTAATTGGAACATGCATAGTGATGGCACCATACAGTCAATCAATCATAAAAAATTCAGGATGTTGAACTGAAAAATTCTAAACACTTCAAATACCTCAGTGTATGGATCAGTCATAATAAATTTAGTATAAAAGATAAGGGAGTTGAATGCAGGTTACATGGTACTAAGAGTACTTTTGCCCAGTACTCATTGACCTGAAAACTAAAGTCATGTTCTTAAATAGCCTTGATAGATCAAAACTCTCATATGGATATCAGGCATGGCACCCAACTCATTCAGAAATATCTAAACTATCATCTATATACAACCATTTTCTCGGATCAATAATAAATGGATTCAAGGGCACAAATCTTTAAGATGATCTGACATCAGACCCCAAAGATTGGCATGACAAAATCACAGAGCTTTACCAAATAACAAAAACTACATCATTTGAAGACTTTCAACAGCAACAAAAGAGTAGGACATGTAACTAGAAGAAAAGATAATAATATGGTGTGGGGTATATATATATATATATATATATATATATATATTATATATATCAGTGGTGAATGGTGGGAGCTTAGCCAGAGTGAGTCAACATTCAAATATATCCATTTCAAAGCAATAAAAATCATTTTCATTCTTGACTTCAGCTGGATGCAAAATTGTTTTAACTGTGCCTCAAAATATTGACTGAAATAAGTTTTGCTGATATTGTTCATAATAAAAAGGGAACAAAGAAAAAACATAGAAAGAAAGTAAAAAAGGATTTAATAAAATGTTCAGTCGGGCTACATAGATCTGAGCCCTATCTATCATATCTATCTTGCTTTAATTTTATAAGTAATCTTTTAAAAATTTCTGAAGACTTGTATGCCCTGTTTTTCAAGGAACACAAGTTTATTTGAACTTATTGTTTTCAAATGACCATTCTAAATAATTTATTCCATACAGTATAAGTTTTTTTTTTAGCACAATGTATCAGTTGAAAAAGGGCAAATTAAATTTAACCCAACTTAGTCAGCGAAAATCAAAAAGTGGCAGCCTTGTGAACTGGAGGGTTGAGTGCGACTGGTGTAATGTTGAGGAAATATGATATCAGTCAACTATTCCTATCTCTACCATCAGTGACTTGATAACAAAGCTATAAAAACAATAAAAAATAGAAAGGGGGCAATAAACAGAAAAACAGACTTTATTCTCATGCTTTTTTCTTACAGGTCTGGAAAATTTTTTAAAATAAATGTTTATTTATATAAAATTATTACAATTAATATTAAACTGGCAAAATGTGTTTTTTTTTAATTTCATGAACAGAGATTTTTTAAAATAATATATTTTAGCTAGAGTAAAGGAAACATTTTAGCATCTAAGTTATGCCAATAGTATATTTTGTTAAAGATTGTAATGAGCCCGACAAACATTGCTAACCTAGAGTCACCACTGAGTGTGGTGTGTGTGATTAAAAGTGACTAACAAGTTACTTTTGTTAAGTTTTTTATTTATTTTTTCTTGTTTTTCTTTTCTGGATGTAAATTATGTAGAAATTGTCCAAATGTTTTGTATGTCCAAGTGGTTTGGGCTATAGTTTTAGCCATTATCAAGGATGATATTTTTACTTTTAGCTGAATGTATAGATTGTTTTATGTATGTAGTTAGAGTTATAAAAACGTTATATTTTCCAAACAAGGTCATCACATTGATAATATCTAAAAGTATAGCTGAAAGCACTCAGAAATACAAAACATTTGGATAATTTCTATATAATTTACATCCAGAAAAGAAAATTATAAGAACACAAAAAAAATTAGATA